CATATGTGGACAGTCCAAGACGCATGTTCCTTTCTTCTGATGCAAATAAAGGATACTTGTCATTCATCTTTTCCCATGTAACAGAATCTACAGGATGGCGAAGTTTGTCATCACTGCTCTTGTTACTGAAATGCCATCGTAAGTCCTTTGCCATTTCCTCTGTCCTAAACATTCTCTTCAGCCTCGGGATTATTGGAAAGTACCGTAATACTTTCTGTGGTACACCTTTCTTGACTTCACCAGTGTGCTTATTAATCTTCCACCTTGAAGCATTGCATTTGGGACAATTTTCCAGCTTCTTGTACTTCTTTCTAAAAAGACAGCAGTCATTTACACACGCATGAATCTTCTCATATCCCATATCAAAGCTCTTCAAAAATTTCTTCACATCATACAAGGATGTGTGAAGCACATTATCCTTGGGCAACATTTTTGGCAGTGTCTCAAGAAGCTCATCAAAGCTCTTGTTAGACCATCCATTCTTGGTATTAATCCTAAAGAGAGACACAATAGCCGACAGCTTGCTGTGGTTAATACAATCAGGATATAAAGGGGTTTCTGCATCTGCTAGCTTAGCTAGGAACTCATCTTCTCTCTTGTCCTCAACCTCTCCAATCTCACTTAAGTAAGCCACTGGATTGTCACCTAGCTCACCATTACTAGCCAACTCTTGGTCATGGTATTCAGCAGCTTTGTATAACTCAAGAATTTCCTCATTCCAATGATTTACTTCCCTTTCACATTCTCCATCAGCAACTGAGTCTCCATGATGGTACCAATCACTTTGCAGCTTGTAAGCCTCATCCATCCCTCTTGTTACAAGATGAACCACCACATCACTACTTGACTGGCGGTATACATTACGACAGTCTTTGCATGGACATATTATCTTATCTATATCTCCTAAAGCCGCAGCCACATCAATGACAAATCTCCGAGCACCTCTCTCATAACCAGGATCAGCTCTTCAATGAAGAAGTAAAGTAGAAAAAAAAAAATTCCATCTCTTAAATTAACTAAACCCCATTTTAAAGCAAACCTATCTAAATAATTTTATTCCTTACCTGCATAGATGCACCCATGCCTTGTCCAACATTATATGTTATAAGCTTAAATAAAACCTTATTAACAGAAATTGAAACCATAATCAACAATAGTCACAGAGAAAAATCTCATGATAAGATAACTTATCATGATCAGACAACTTATCATGAAGACACAATATAAACTGAACAAAATGCTAAAGACATACTAAGCATTAAGCAACTTACACTATCTCAGAAACAAACAAATTAACAAAACAAGAATAGTGACAACAACTTTAACAAATTGACAACAGTCATAGCAACTTCAACAAAACCACAACAGTCACAGCAAATTTATCAAAACCAAACATTCATAACATTTACAATCAAAGAATCACAGCAAATTTATCAAAACTAAAACATTCATACATTCAAGGACTAACCTGTCGTCTGAGTACAACAAAGGTAAAGCTTCAGTTCTCCAAGATTTCAATCACCAACACTCGCTAAAAAAAAGCAGAATCAAAAAAGCAGAATCAGTATAAGCTTTAAAAAAAAAATCTAACAACAAATCGAGTAGGAGAAATATAAATCGCAAAAACAAGATCTATGTGAAGAGAATGTGGATTAAAATGAGTAACCGACATCAAAATCGCAGAAGTTTTCGCTTTACCCTATTTCAAACTAATCGAAGAACCCTAATTTGAAAATGTTTTAAAAAATCCGATTTTCTGTACCAATCTACTGAACTAGATTAAAATTAGAGACAATCTTCACCAAAAAATCAATAGAAATGGAAGTAATAGAAACGAAGAAAGACATGCATGCCTCGATTTTAGCTAGCTGACGGCCGCTGCGAAGGAGAATGTGGCTACGGAGGAGAACTCGAGTCGCACGATAGCAAATCCGACCTTAATACGCCGCAGAGGATAGAGTATTTGAGAGTTGAGCTAAAAAATTTCGAGAGAAAGGGTTTTGTTTTTGGTTAAGTGTTTTGACTGAAAGGGAAAATGAAATTAGATCTGAGGCGCTAAAGGGTTTTTTTTGCTAAGTGTTGGCGGATTAAGTCATTTTAGATTCCCGCTCATTAAATTTCTTTCATAGCGTTTATACACCGCTATTATAAAGAAACCCAAAAAAAAAAAATCTACCATAGCAGTAACGGAAAAAACGCTATACTCGTGTGCTATCAATGTTGATATTTGTTGTAGTGGTATCAGTAAAAAAAAAGTATCGCTTTTAGTAGATATAGTAGTTATGTAAATGACAGCTACTTGTTTAGATTCAAGTGTTCTTTTTGTGACTTGTGTTTTTATTGCTTATATATATATTACATATGAATATTAGTGATTTAGCGAATCATATGAGAGTCATTAGTTGTACTAATTGTAGCAGTAGCTCTATAATTTTCTCACACAATTATAAAATAAATTCCGACAAAAAAAGGTGAATAAAAAATTAAGATCATGAGAGAACAAGAATATAAATTATAAAATTTAATTTCAAGAATAAAAGTTGGATCATGGATATACAACTGCAAGAATAATTTTAAAAGAGAAGCATTGGAAGCAAGAAGTGAAGCGGTGAGTGAATCTTGTGACTGTTTCTGCTGTTACTGTTTATCTTTTTCCTTTCTTTAATTATTTGATTTTTGCTCTTTTTTCTTTTTTCTGTTCTGTTATAATAAGTGTAAGTCCGTTATAATTGATTAAAATAATTCAGATATATATATATATATATATATATATATATATATATATAATATATAAGTGTAAATGTGGTGACCAGAAAAAATAACAACCCAAAACCAAAGAAGAACCTAATCCACGTCTATTAGTTGTGGTTGTGATTCTCTTGCCAAACCCTAAGCCGGTCATCTCCACGTCCATCTCGTGTCCACTGCCTTTCTATTTTTTATTTTTTATCAAATCACATTTATTTACATGATAATGTTTTTCTAATTTTTACTTTTTTTGAAAATATGAATCCAAAAACGTATTTACAGAAATGTTGGTTATGAAATGAGAATGATGATGAGAAAATTCTCAAACTAGCATTGGTCCTTATAGCATAAAGTCGTAACAGAGACATTATTATATATCTCTGCAAAGTAACAAAAATAGTCAGATATTTTTTAAGAGTTATATATAATCAAGATATTCTGAGTTTTAATCTAAAATAAATTTCTGGAACTAGTACAATCAGATATTTGTTTTGTCATTTAAATTTTTTAAAAGGGCCAACATAAATTTTTAAATGTTTATTGCACCAAAGTCCAAACTAATCTCCATAACCTTACAAATCAGAATATATTTGTCATTTAAAACATCTACAATGACTAATCATAATGAAAATTGTTGCCAACACAAAACACCGCGATATAGCGTTTGCAAGCTGCAAACGCAGAATCTAAGTAATAGTGGGAAAAGAGGCGTCTACAACTACAAGTAATACAAATAGTTGTTTCACATGTTCAAAAAAAAGCAATTTTATTAATTCATAATTTGCAATTTTAAAAAATAACAAAAAAATACCTTAAAAAGAGGGAAAGAAAAGATGCCTTGGAAGTCACTTACTTTTCGTGAATGAAAGGCAACCATGAACACTAACCACTTGCTTACTCAAACTATTCTTACTTCAACAAGTAGATCATCTAACTATCACACAACCCTTTACTTAACTCCCACTATATTCCTCTCTTTCATTATAACTTGCACATTTCATTTTCCTCCTTTTTTTTTAAATGATAATATTTGATTCAATTTTTTAAAAAATAATTCCAGTGATCAACAATATAGTAGTAAGTAAGAAGAATTCACAAATATTCATCATATTATGTAGTAAAAAAAAAACAACTAGTAATGACAGTCTATTAACGCTGGTGTTGCTGAGAATACTATCCCTTGAAACTTTGACTCTCTTAGATCATCTTCTGGTGCTGGTAGATTAAGATCCAACGGTAGATATTTCCTCTGCTGTTCTATCGAACGGCCTATATTTATCTCAATCTCTTCCTCTGTACTGTTTCTGCTAACTTCCGCGGTGGTGGCTGTCCTGTGCCGCCTCATGTGACCACCAAGCGCTTGACCGGAAGTGAACTCAGAACCGCAGATGGAACACTCGTGTACTTTATTGGCCTTGTTGATGATGTTACTTGCCTGTGAAGCTAGGGCTGAGCCGGAAACTTTGAAATGACTGTTTTGCCCTTCTTCTGACAAACTAGACTTGGGTTGCATCAGGGGTAATCTAGTCTTTTCCTCAGTCGACGTCCTTGGCTTCTTGTGGCTTGCTCTGTGTCCACCAAGTGCTTGGAACGACGAAAACGTCCGGTTACATGTTTTACACTCGTACACATAGAAACTAGAATTCTCCGACGAAATCTTCTGATGAGTTTTTCTCGAGTTCTTGAGATCCGGCGATGGAAGAACCGTCCCACGAGCCAACATGATGAGACAAATCGCCATGTCTTCTTCTTCTTGCGTACAATCAGTAGTCACCGGAGACGAAACCGCCGAGTTGTATTCATCAGAAACCGCTCTTCCTCCACCGCTTCCACCGGCTGATGAACTTGTTGAGGTCACTGTCATCGCCGCCGTCACCACAAACGTCGAAGACGATCTCTGTCGCTTCGTACGCTTCCCTTTTATGATTTGCGTCTGATCACTCCCAACCTCATCTTGACCCATCATCATATCCAAAAATAGTAAAAAAAGAAGACTAAAACCCAATTCAAGAAACCAATCAAGAAACAAACCCAATTGAAGAAACTTCGAAACTGTGGAGAAAAGAATGAAATCGTTGGTGTTTATTATGTGGAGTGAACTAACAAGAAAGAGAGAGAGCAGAGAGAAGAGAGGCAGTGAAGAAGACGATGGTGGGGCTGCTTATATATATATTTATCGGAAAAAAAGAGAGAGGTTATAAGTTTGGTGGTTGTTAATCTTTTTAGTTTACTCCACAAAAGATTTTACACATCGATCCACTTTACATTATTATAATGTTTTTAGCTAACCAATAACATTTTGACGGTTCACTCTATACCCATTACCTGACACTTCTGCGTTTTCTCTGCCAAATTCCATAACAATATAATCAACAAATTTATAATTCAATGATGAAAAAATATTACATGAAAAAAAAAAAAAAATCTATGTCTTCTTATTTTCTAGTTTCTGTTCTGTTGTATCTACTTTTAATCCATATCTTCGAAATCTGATCTCTACCTAGATCTATATACCAGAAGTCAACCCTTCATGACGTTTTTATTTATTAGTATTATATTAGACAGCTTCTTCTAGTACATACTTTCTAATAACAAACATATTAATATCAATTGGTCTGATTAATCAAACTCTTGAATCATTCATATTTGCATAATTAAAAGAGAATTATTATTAATTCTGAGTGAAAATGATTAATATTGTTCAAGCAAAAGTAGGAGAAATAAAAGGGAAAGTGAAACCCGTGAAGAGTTAACCACTGAATTAGGCAAAGGTTCATTAGTAGTGTTGAGTGGCACTTAGGCCACCAATTCACGTTTTTGTTATTTGTTTTTATTTATTTATTTTCGAGTTTAATTTTTGGGAGTGTGAACATTCAGTTCTAAGGACAAAGCAAAGGTTTTACTTTCACGCACTTTAGGTCCACGTCATCAAATCGACGCTTTCAATGAGAACCGAAATAGATAGAACTAAAGATAAAAATGTTCACGACAGCAAATAAAAAGAATATATTACATATTATTAATGGTCGTGACGACTACAAGAAACTTTTGATTAAATTTTTTAAAAAATACTTCTAAGATTATCAAAGAAAATAATGATTCACAGACATACATGGTTCATAATTAGGAGGCGACATGCAGTGGCCGGTGTTTATAGGATTAGGTGCATTCATCGTTGGCATGTTAGGCTAAAACAATTCTAAGCTTAGTCTTTGTTAATGTGAAGAGACAACACCACGACTTTTTATTTGTGTTCTCTTTTTTTAATCATAACTTAGTTTAACATTTATTTATTTGTTAGAGAGAGAGTTGAAAGCTAGTGATCAATTGGTTATCTACTTATCTTAAGACTGGAAACAGTTGCCCGTATAATGGGCTTATTTAGATAAATTTTAAAATAACTAGAAATTAGTTTTATCAGATTAGTATATACTCAAATAATATGAATGTTTTGTCATTTCCGGAAATGTTACAATTTTTTTTTGTATGGCAAGTGACAACTAACCATGCAGGTAAAAATAGTTCATGGTACAACCAAAAATAACACTCTATTGATTTTTAGAATAAGTAATTTATAGAGAAAATTTCAAAACGTAATACTATATATATATAGACGGAATAAGTAATGTCAAGATTGAGAAGAAATTTATGAATTTTAGGTACCTCAAAATAATTATTTAATTTAACTAGACTAAAACTGGTAAAAATAATTTATTCTGGAAAAATTATACACTTCTTTTTCTGTCAACATACTTTGTAAGTCTCACAATGGGAGATTGAGGCTTGAACCCATACATATGCATAAGGTACAATACATAGTGGCTAAACCACCCCACAAAATCCTTGTCAAACTAAAAATAAGAAGAATAAATATCTCACAATCAAATTTTGGTTTATACCTTTCATAATAAATATTTTTATAAGATCTTGATATAGATTTCGAGTAGAAAAATACAATTGTCTTGACTTAAAATTCATACAAACTGTAAATTGGAAAAGAAATGCAAGAGTAAATTTATTAGTAAGATAATTCACTTAGGAAACATCAAAACCTAAACTTATATTGAAACGGATAAAATACTAAGTAGTATTTCCTCCAAACAAGACTGGGATATTTTGTTTAGAAATAAGAAAATTTTCTGTACTCTAAATCTTTTGATGGAATAAAGATTTCATAAAAAGATAAATCTCAAGTGGATATATATAGAATTAATTACGGATTTTGTCCTTTTTCATAATGACATTTGTGGATTTTGCCCCTTTTTGAATAGTTTGTGCATTTTACCTTTTTTCATGCTCCAAAAATATGATTTAATATGCGTTTCACTTGTTATGTTTGAGTTTAGTCGGTTCCATTTGTTCTTAGGGTTTACTATTTGGTATAAAGTACGTATTTTTGGGAAAAAAAATCCTAAATACGTATATTTTAAGTATTAAAAAAGGGCAAAATCCGTAAACTATTCAAAAAAAAGGAAATTTCGTAAGTTTTTTTTAAAAAAAGACATTTTAGACAATAATCCCATATATATAACATAATTTTTGGGCTAAAGAAAGATTATGTGTGGGATGCAAGTATATTACATACACAAACAAAACCCATCACTTATTTCCTTCACCAGAATATTTTGCTAAATTCATGCAACATTTTGACTTTACATAGGGATTGCTGCTCCTATATAATATGTATGCCACTATGGACTATATAAACAAATACTCACGTTTGTTTTTGTATCGATGTATGTGTATGCAAGTAACTAAAAGGTGTTACCACTTGCCACTGGAATATACCAATTTATATCATTAAATGATTACGATTTCCAATTATATTTACTCTTTCTATAGCCGCAAATATTAAATTTTAATCTTGATACAAAAAACGATATTAGTAAGTCGTACCAAATTAATGCTACCGTTAAGCTATAGTAGTATATAAAAAAGGACCTAGTTATTTTATTAATAAAAATCTGATTAGGCGCAATAATTCTATAACACGATGAAATGATTGCAAGAAGTTACTCTTAATCACGTTGGGCTATTCCAAACCTTATTGTCTTGTACTTAAAGTGGCCCTCACATCCTTTACACAACAATTTAATAGATACACTCACACATGGATATTCATATAAAACTCATTATGTATTTAGTGGTCCAAAAAAAGCTAATTATATCGGTTTCAATTTACAGTCGAGACGATACACGAACATGTATTACTTATGTATACGTTTAGATACATCATATATAATGAGGAAATAATTGAAATGATTTGGTTGCTAATCATAAACAATAATTAAAAAAAAAGTACTCCATAAAAACGATAGAAGAAGAGATGCATGATGTTGCGTAAAGCAACGACACCAACAGATGTGTGGCTAAAAATGATTAATTTTTTACTCACCGCGTCATATATCCTAAAACATAAATTAGTGTCCTACTAATAATTTCAACATAAATTGGCATTCTCCGTTTCAATTAGTACATTTTGTGAAATGTTAAAATATGGTACAATTAAATATAGAACTAGCTCTCTAAACTTATTATAAGAAGAAAAAGTCGTTTTGGCCAAAAATAAATAAAGCAAGTAAAAATCTATAGGACATAACCAGCAAGTGATTATATGACTTAAAGATCTTTAAAAATGATTAAGGACGGAATTAATCATCCCCAAATAAGATCGACACTCGAAAGACAATAGATGAGATGATCAAGCTTATGGTGGATAGTTTAAACAATTTCATCACGACGTTTCCCTATAGCAAATAAAAACTCCTTAGGATTAGTCGGCGCGCGTCTCTACATATATCGACCATGGGTAGTTCAACCATCAAGTTGTTTGCGCTTTTACATTATCATAAGTTCATGACCAAACATCCTTAGAGCTGGTAGCAAGAACAAAAAATTAAGTTAAATAAAAAATCAACTAAACTAAATATGCGTGCTAATTGATTCGCGTAAGTTAAGGTACACATGACGTTATGAATTCTTTATAAGCTAAATTATACATGGCGTTACAAGATATTTCAAAACCTAAAAAGTTAACCCAAACATATATATAGTGTTTATGATTTTAAAATAATTAAATTAAAATTAAAGTGATTTTATATTTACAATTAAAATAATAGCTATATACATGTCAATTTATCACATGCTTAAGTGTCAAGCAATGGAAATAGTTAGTATACTGAATTTTTGGATTTTTCAGTAAAATTTTAGTACAATATAATCACTATAACTAATGGAATAAAAATGTAATAGTATATAGATCAATGGAGAAACAATTTTTATTCCACTCATTATATAGTGATCTAGATCCATACATGTTTTAGAGCCGGAACTAATATTTAATAATTAATACATTATTTATTTTAACGAGAATTGAGTTCGTGTCCTTCCGTGTGCCTACATATTTGGTTTAAGAATTATAATACGTTGATGTTTATACTCACCATTGAATTCTTTTTGAATGAGAACAGAATACAAATAGGAATGAAATAATGAAAGAACAAAGAACCAGATAAATATGAGTATATGACGTACAATGTAGAAGATAGCACAAGAAAAATGTAAGTTAGCAAAAGAGAGAGAGAGAGAGAAAGAAATACTTAGCGTAAGAAGACAAAGGAGAAGGAAGTGTGAGGCACGTAAGGGTTAAGATGCACCGCCGCCGCATCTTTAGTTGTATCATCCACCAATTACACAACTCATTCCAACCATTATACTAAATATATATGCTTATAGAAACCTAAAATATTTAAATACTACTATCTTTTCGAAAAAATATGTTTAGACAAAACTATACATTGAAATGGCATTTAAACGTTCAAAATTACTAGTTTTCTGTCATAAGAAATAGTTATTTCAATAGTTAAGATGAATTTAATTAGGTGATAGATGTAAATTTTACTCTGTCAATTAATCGTTGTAAAAAAAAAAATTGTCATCTAAAAAAATATAACGATAGTTTAGACGACGAAGATTTAAAAAATACAAAATAAGTTAAAGAATTTATAGTTTAGTTAAACGATGTAGAAACCAAATTTACGTTTTAAATACATACATCGGTTATTTTGAAGGTTGTTTCTAAAAAACAGCCAATTCCTTTTTTGTTTTTGTAATTATTTTATCTAATTATAATTGGTTGGTATGAGTCTGGCATTACATGTGACATAGCTTCCAAGTTAGGATTAACCAAAAGATCTTGTTTCTACAAAACCGGATCCAACCCACTCTTTCGCTTGCTTTACTTCACTTGCAGGTTGTTGTTTTCCTCTCAACTCCCATAACAAATAGTATAATTTTATCTTAGTTTTATATGTGGCTCTTATAAGAAAATGATTTATTAG